TCCAAACCCACCAAGGCTGAGCTGCAGCATCCAAGGAAGATGCTGAATTTCACACAGATCTCTGCTGAGTCTGTAAAAATTTTGCAGATTTGTTGAAACTGCCTTGTTGAGAAACCAAAACAAAAATCACTAATCCCAGTGGCCATTTGTAGGGTCCTGTGGTTTTTATCCAAAACTATGGCAAAAGCAGTGGTCAGTCATGTGACTTACAAGCCTAAAGGTTTCATTTTGAAACCTGAAAGAAACCCACAAGCTTAGTCTTAAAATACACTCACTCCCAAGAGACAAACCAGAAAAAAAATGTTAAAAAAATCATCTGAGTTTTAGCCTTGGAAACACAGACTAAGGAAACTGGTCCAAACCAAATGTTGTCAGGGCTCACTACATTTTGAAGCCAAAGCTGAGTTTTATTCCACTGAGGTGACACTGTTTATTAACACTGTCTGTGGCACTCTGATTGCCTCGAAAATTTCAGGAGAAATGGAGGCCCTCTCTTGTTTGTGCTTTGAACAGAAGACTGCTGTCCAATGAAATGAGTACCAACAACATAAATGATGAGATTTTGTTTTACCATATCTTCCTTCCTGTAGGACATGTAGACAACACACCATGAAATAAATTACGCTTCCTATATTTTAAAATTAAATTTTACTTATTAAATGTCAGTTTCATTTACAACAATAACTCTTACACTGTAGGACATGTAAATATGATCTGGAGAATTTGTGGTATCTGCATATTCTTGTTTGTCATTATGTAACAAATTGCCCCAAAATGTAGGGGCTTTAAAGTAGCCCTTTTATTACATTTCTTGACTTTGTGGGTCAGATATTCTGGCAGGCCTCTGGTGAGTGATTCTTCTGCTCCATATGATTGACTGAGGTCACCCACTAGTATGCAGCTGGTGGCTGGTCCCATCTTGGTGGAATGAAGACACCTTTGCCTACATGCCTGGCAAATTGGAGGGGTGACTATGAAGCTGGCTCAGCTGGGCTTCCTTTAGGATCTCTCTACATTGCCTTGATGGCCCAAGGGTCTCAAGAGACCAAGACTAAGCCTGGAACTGGCTAGAGCATCATTCAGCAGTCAGAGCAGCTGTGAGCCAGTTTCAAGAGGCAGAGAAAGAGACCCCCACCTCTCGATGGGAGAGTGTCAAAAATTTGTGACCATCTTTCATTCACCACAAGGTAAACTCCAGAGTTCTACTCCCAGAAGTTCTAATTTACTAAGTGTGTGGTAGAGTCCACGATCTGCATTTTAGAAGACACCCAATAAGATTCTGGTGCAAGAGGGATTATAGCAGTCTTTGTAAAACAGTACTTTATAAAATGTGCTTTCAATCAGTCAGTCCTTCAATTACCCAACATTGACTGACTGTAACATGTCCCCAGAGTTATATCTGGTGCTGTGGAGCACAGAAGAAAGCATAAAGACCTCTGCCCTGGGGAGACAGCCTGGACACCAGGATCACCTTGTGGGGAGGGGCACAAGGGAAGGGCCAGTACAGCTGAGGCAACTAAGACAAGCACTTGAGGCTGAGCTACAGGAATCAGATCAAGACATATGCTGGCCTGAGTAGGTGGCCAGAATGAATTGCTGGAGGAAAGGGAAGTGAGTGGTCTCTTCAAATCTTCCCAAAGAAGTGGGGCTAGACACAAAGGAACAGGATGCATGGTAGACTCAGCACATTTCACAAAGTATAATCTTTTCTCCCAGGCTTTTGACAAGATCATCTCTCCTAGCATCTTAGTCAGCTTGGGCTGTCATAACAAAATACCATAGACTGGTGATTTAAATGGTAAATATTTGTTTTCTCATAGTTTTAGAGTTTGGAAAGTCCAAGGTCAGGGATACAGCAGGGTACAAGAGAGGGCCATCTCTAAAGAGGGGTGGGTACAACATGCCAAGTGGATCAGGTCTGGGTGCCTAAAGGTGTCTTATTGGGTTGGATAGAGGCATTCTCCCCACAGAAAGCAATCCTCCTTGTCCAGATCAGAGGTTGCTGTTAGTTGCCTTCAAATTTTAAAGCCAAATCTCAAGACTGAATACTTGGACCAGTTGCATTCAGTGATGGTCTCAGCAACCAGGCAGGAGCCTAGGCACAAACAAATGGAAGTTCAGGACTAAGCTGTTAGCCAGGAAACAGCCAGGCGAGGAGCCAGAGAGCAGATGGAGAGCAGGCTGAGCAGCTAGCCACGGCCCCAGTAAACAGGGTGATCAGTGGGTCAGAGGATGCTTGGCAGACAGACAGCAACCAGGAAGATGTTGATAGTCATGAGCAAGGCTTGGAGGACAGACCAGGAAGATAGGTCAGGATCCCAGCCCTTCTACAGGAACTGGATCAAGGAGGACAAAGCATCTCCTATGGTCTCACTGCCAGTAAGAAAGCCTC